ACCAGAGCATATATCACAACTCTGATTATGTAGAGAAGAAAATGTGGGAACTTTCAATAGGGTTAATATTCGCACATACATTCACATTTCAAATTCAAAGAAGAAAAGCACTGTGCTGGGAAATTAAAATAGCATCCAGTCCATGACAATATTTTACCTAAATAATATATCTCATTTAATATGCATAGAAATCTTTTTAGAACACTCAATTTAAATCGCTGCAATGTATCACTTCCTCTGTCTTTGATGTCAATCAGCTGGGAGTCTAAGAGGACTCTAGGAAGTGGGCAGAAGGTTCCTAAAGCACTTTGAGCTCTCATATGAAAGGTGCTGTTTAAGTACAAATTATCATAATAATCTTAATATATTTAACAACTCCACTCACTTGCATGGAAATACCTGACTCTACCTCACCTGTTTGGTATTTTGAGGCACAATCCTTAAGTAAAATTTCTCTAATAGGTTATAGATAACATTATTTCATAAAACTCATTCAGAAAAAAACATCAGAAGAGGAAGGTTTCATAAACATTATATATCGGTGATTACAGAAAATGTCTCCACCAGGAAGAAAACTACAAGGCTAACAAAAGATACTTGTTCCTAAAGAGACTGAAAGGGTTACTTTCCCCAACAGTAGAGCATCCTAGATGCTTCTCTTCCTTAACGTTGAATACAGCCCCTCATGATGCTCCTGGACTGGAGGTACAGCAGATGTTACACGTTTTCTCCCTCATTTATATTTTCCAGGGGTAAAGAAAATCGAGATACACAGGCAGCTGGCTGTGGGGAGAATTATTTTCTACTTGAAAAGCATTCTAAGTTTCAGTAAAAAAGAAAATGTGCATTACAGATAAATGGTATTCCTCTGCTCCAAAAATTCATTTAAAGATTACCGACTACAGTATTTCTCTTTTTTGATTTTTTATCTTACCTTTACTTACATAAGTTGTATCAAAAATATAGCATCATTTTCAAAAATGAAAGCATTACTAATAACGCTAATACCTTTTCACCGTATCTCCGTCTGGGCCCCTTCAATCCCTCCTCATTCTCCTCCAAGCCTACCCAGCTAGGGCAATCAATATTCATTTTTCTGCAATGCATTTGATTTAAATCTTTCTTTAAGATAAAAAAAAAAATTGTCCTATGAAGATGAGAACACAATATCATTTTATTACAATAAGCACTTTTATACGTTTTCTCATTAAATTATCTGGGGGCTACCAAATTGTCCATCGTGTAATTTTTAACATTTTCAGTGATTCTGAACTCATCCGACTCTTCTCAGAAGTGGGAGCTTATCGGTGAGGAGACCTCACAACACGACCCTGTTTACACAGGACGAAGAGAGGTTCCCTTACAGACATCACCCTAGGGCCTCCCATCAGGGATCTGGGTCCCTTGGTCCCTCTTCAGGCCCCACCCTTGTTCTTCGTTTCTGCAGATCCCAGGGTTAGACCCAACTGACTACTCTCCGACCGCTGCTCAACATCACAATCCTCATGCATGCTCGACTATAACCCTGGGTGATTCATCAGCGCACTGTGGGCCTGGGTACGGACACAGTATCCAAAGATAACCAGAATCCATGAAATAAAAAGTGAGGACTAGTCTAGGGTGGCAGGAGATAGAGGAACTACCCCTTTAAGAGTGCTTCCAAGGCATCTTTTCTGGCTCTGCCCTCCTACCCTGCACGTCCACACATGACCTCCAGTTCGCTAGCGCCCATCCACCACCAGTCCAGAAGCATTGCTACTAGGAACACAGGAGCCCAAAATAAAAAGGCTGCTTTTTCAAGTTGTGTAGGAAGAAAAGTCAAAGAGAGTCAGGTATTAAGAAATAGAAGCAAATTTTGAGACAAGAGTTGACACAAATTAGTGTCCCGCTCAGGCAGGATGAAAGCAGAAAGTGGACAGGTGAATTGGCAGTCTGAGATGTGGAGCACCCTTGAAAAAATGATCCAATGCCACGGAGATGGATCATCACGTACCTTAGCAGGGTGCTAGTCAACAGGCATTCATGTAATTAAGCTTTAATATTTGGATTGCACATTCACCATATAATCTTCTCATTATAAACTGGATACCCATTGTATGTATGTTTGCTTACAAGAAAAATTGAGCTGTGTGATTCAAAGAATTCTTATTGAAAATGCATGTAGGTTTATATGTGTGTATATGTGTATATGTATGTATATCAATGCAAAGACGTCTATATGGATATTCAGACGTTTTAGCTTGGTTGATGTGATCCGTTCCTAAAAGTGGGTACATTCTTAGTATGCTGACTTCAGGTTTCTGAGACTATCAGTGAAGATCCAGATTTCAGTTTGGAGTAAGCTCACAAACATAATAAACACCACCTGGCCTTCCCTTTGCTATCTCTGCTTTGACATATTTTATGGCTTCCAATGCAAATAACTACAACCCCCACACGGAGGCCTAGATCCATTTAAACAAACTAACAGGGAAAAGTGACATCTTACAGGTATTCGTTTTGCACATCCACCCCCAAAATAGAGTGAGAGCAGTTGTAATCTAAAATGTCTGGGGCACTTGTTCTCTCAGTAAACTATAGCAAGGCCCCTTTGTTCTTAAAGAACACATGATCTAATTAATAAAAAATAATAACCAAGAGTTGAGATCTCATATGAAGTGAAAAATCCATAGATTGGCATTGGTTGGCAAACAAGCAATCTTCAAATACCCCAACGTGGTGGTCAGTATCATCCCTATTTTATAAATTAAAATACTGAGGCACAGAACATTAAGGATCATGTCCACAGTTTACAGCAAGCAAGAAATAAGAAAGCCAGCACTGAGGCCAGATCAGTTCCAAAACCAGTGTTCCTCACAGCCACGGTGGGTCCAGCTCTGGATGTGTCCTGGTGGGCAGGGCATTCCCCTCCAATGTAGGGTCCACTTGGATGCCCTGGTGATTATAGCAATGTTTTATAATTTCAATTATGAAGTTGACTTCAGGAACTCTACCTTTTCAACTTCCCCAAATCACCACTTGAAGCACACTACCAAATCAAAATTAAGCCCAAATTAAACTGAAGCCTGCCTGACTCCCTATTCCCTAAATGCTGTCTAAATTATTACTAATCCCTGCCCCCTTCCTCTTTCATTAACTAATTGGTTTCCTCAATACTGCTTCTTTATGAAATGAGTTGTAGATGATTGTGCCACTCAGGCAATGGCTTTGGGCCACGGATCGTCAATGTCTGCAGTCATGGAAGTTTTACAAGTCTCCCTTTTATGAGCCTCTTGTTTCTTCATATGCCAAGCCTATGCCTCCCTGTGCACTTACTTTACTCTAGTTTATCTAAGTGGAAACAGAAGCCTCTCTCCATCCGTAACTCATCCTCAATTTCATGGAATCATCTCGTCACGTTTTCTTCTGATTCAGTAGCTCCTGGCAGTAAAATCTCCTTTTATATACAGATAAAGTAAAGTGGCTCTAAAGAAACAAGGAACAGGGAACAGAGGGGCTTTTTAAAACCCTGGGAGAGCACACTGAGCTCCCACATTTATGTTCTCTCCGGTAGAGCTAGAAACGTGGACAGCATTGCTTATGTTGATAAAGTTGACTTTACAACTTCATACAACCTCAATTTTAAGTCCTAGGCATTAGGATCCCCATGATCTCCAATCTTAGGATGAAGATATAACTTATAAAAGCGTAGAACTATCCTTAGGTCCTGGTTATACTCGAAATTATCAGTCAAGGAAAAAAAAAAAACATTTCCATGTATAACTCTAGCACTAATAAAGTAGTCTCAATGTTTCCAAGGTTTCAGAACACATCAAGTTAGTTTGATCGCCAATATGAGATACCCAGGTTTTCTGTGAACAATCCACTATTAACAAAGAGTAATTAAAACCACAATATCTTAGTGATACACTACGAAAAGATTCCTAATGTTTAAGGTTAATACGTATGATACTGCTGATATGCAACTTATTTAACATAAACCATGATATTATAATGAAAGTCCTCATTGATGCTATATTAATTATTTTTAAATTTTTAATGTTTGAACTGAGCAGCTGAGCTCTGCTTTTATGTTACCTCTGTAACACAGAATAGAAACTTCAACAAATTTTACATATATTGCAATTTCATTTTTGCCTGTTATGTACCTTAGTAAAGTAATATATACAAACTGGAAAAATATGTAATTACATATAAATAACGTGCTTTAGGTAAGTTGAGTCATCTTTCCATTAAAAAAAATGACTTCACTTCATCAAATCTCAAATAGCTTCAGCCTGATGTTGCAATTTAAAAATGTGAAAACCAATTTTTATTGTAACAAATGACAACTCATCATCAAGCGAGCCAGTCAACATCATAGACCCTTTTTTAATATTAGCAGGTTAAAAGGAAAATTGACATAGAATGCATAATTGTATAATGACAAATAATGTCTGCAGACCTTGCAAATGAATATTTGGCCGCTTTGGGTCTCAGTTTTGCTTTCATAAGAACTCTTAGGAATTTGCATTTCTAAAAAGGGATTACACTACTTTACAGTAAGATCCATTTGCTTAAAAATTATAATTTTCAGAACAAAAGAATTTTTTATTCCAGTTCTCCAAAGATCACTTTGATGGATACATCTTACAGTACTACAATTGCTTTTTCAAGTTTATAGGGATTCAACGTATACTGTAATTAGTTTCTTTATTACAGGCCGCCTTTCGAATTACACATTTCAGCATAATGGGAGTCCATTTAATTAACTGTGCTCCTGATGATCACGCAGACCCCTGAGTCACTACACTTCACCTCTAGTGGAGGCTAAATTTTAAGGGAAATTTATTTTGCTTTCAGAATTTATGAAATGAAAAGAGAAAGCACTGTAGATGTGATTTAAAGGAGAGCTAGAAAATTCTTCAAAAAAATATGAAGTTGTCCTACAAAAGTTCTTGTACTACGAAAACAGTCAACTGAGGAAGAAAAAAACAGGAAAAAACCAAACCCTCACTTACCAGGTGTGAAATTGTATCGAGCTGAAAATCCCATAGATTCCAGCTCTCCATCAGCAAAAAATTTAATCCATAGAAATCTTCCACTGGATTTTATTACAGGTGGATTTTGTTGTCCACAAAAACGTCCAATTATTGGAGAAAATCCAAAAGGTCCATCTCGAACTTCAATATGATCAAATTTGCACTCCCAAGACGGTTCAATAGAGTACTTTTCATCAAAGTAAAGTTCAATGCACTGTCTTGGGGCAGCTGAAAAAAAAGGAAAGATTATGTCTAGAAGGCCATTTTTAAATCTTTAGGTAAATTTTTGTAATTCTACTTCAGATTTTATCTGTACATCTTCTATCAAACTTTGAACATGACATGTGTGGAAAAGCAAAGCAAGTCCATAAGCATTCTAAGAGATAACATTTCCATAAGAATGTCTCAGGGATGCTCCTTAAAACTGGTGATGTTGCACAAAAGATTATTCGGATATAAAATGACCGTTTCAATATCTAACACAGGCCTAATAAATCACAGTATTTTTGTGAAAGACCACTAACATTAGGTTTAGAAATTAGAAAGACAGCTTTCTGTCACTTTTCCCATATCTTCTTAAGTATCCAGTTTTAAGGTCAAAGCCACTTAAGAGTTGCTCAGCATAGAGTTATCCAAACATTCAAACAGTCCCAGTCAGATGTCTTGATTAGACCCAAGTGCATATACAAGGGCATTGAGAAGAATTTTTCCAGTACACAAACCTCACCACATCACCCTCAGGTTTAAACTTAGCAACTTTCTATCAACTATAGGAAAATGATCAATGCACTTGACATTGCAGGACCCTTAAGGGTATCCTACAACTCACACTTCCAGGGGCTTCCCAGTGCACACACAGCCCAAGCTCAGGCCACTGCAGACACACTGTGTTTTCTAAGGCAGCATGCTTTTTCGGGCTTTCATGTATTTGAGCACTTTCTGGAGTATCTACCTCCAATTTGCTGACTCTTGTTTATGCAGGAAAAGCTTGCTTACAAGAACCACCCCTCTAAAACTACTCACTAAGGACAAAATCTATTCACCTTCTTTCGGCACTCAGCAAGCACAGTACTTGTCATTGAGGATTTCTCAAAAAAAAAAAAAAAATCTCTGTTGGGTGAATAGTAAATGAGCTTATCTTCATAAATGTTTTTTAGAGCTCTCTAAAACATCAGGAAGAGCCTCAGAGGGCTAGCAGCTCTATAGACCTCCACATGGATGCATTTGCTAGCGCCCTACCATTTTTCCCTTGTCATGTCCAAAACAGCTCAAAATCCTGGCACTCCAGACTGGTATTCAGCCAGGATACCCCAGAATAGCCATAACAGTTGTTGAAATATCCGTACACATTTATCCTAGTTAGTAAACAGCTGTTGCCTTGAGTCCTCTGAGTGCCTCCCTGCCATGTGGCCCTCTTCAGGGACCAGCACCCTCCAGAAACTTGTAAGGTAAGACTTGGCACAGCGTGGCCTGCTCCCCATGTGGTCTGTATACATTCTGAATGACTGGTGTCCACACCACCCTAGTTCTTAAATATGTATTGAATGTCACCCTTGATGGCTTTAAAATGAAAGCTTTGCTTGCGTGGATGTCAAAATTTATAGAGAATTGAGAGACAGGATGACTTGGAAATTCGAGACCTACAGAATAATCGAAGCTCATTTGGTTAAAGGTCAATGCATATGACAAGACAATTTTAGGGATTATTTTTAATCTCCAAAAATATTTATGACTCTTTGGGCACTGAAAAGAGACATTTATTACTCTTCCAAGAAAAACCAGGGATGGTTTTACCTACCACTACTGTATATTCTGAAAGGTCAACAATTGTAGTATTACCATATTGATAGATTTGATGAAGTTTCAATGATTTTTTAAAAAATCTGCAAATTGGAAAGTATCCTAAGAAATTACTTGGAAAACCTTTTCCCCTCGAGATTATTAGTCCAATAACAAAAAGGGACCTATTTATGTAGTAGCATTAAATATATCATTTGTATGTATTAATATCTTATAGACTGTGCCTGCCTGTTTATCTGCTCATTGGCAAGCCAGTATGATAAGTTTTAGAAGGAAATAAACTATTTGAGAATGTAGGATATTTCTTTTAGATGTAAATAATGTTTGGCTAAGGAACAGTAAAGCAATGAGAACAACCTTGTGCTAATTTATTTAAAACTCTATGAAGCAACATATATCCATCTATTTTCCCTATTAGGAAATGCATGGCCATCAAACATGAATTCATTTATGCATACCTTCATTTTCACTGTTGCTTAAGTTCTGTCCAACATGGATGAACAAGCCTCTCAATGTTCCTTCATGACACATACTATCACCATGGCCTTGGGTAGGCCACACTTAGGTGGACAGCTCATCTTCCTTTGGTCCAGCATGTTGAAGTTAACTACACACACTCATATATGAAATTCCACTAACTGAATTTTCAAAAGCAGTAAAATAAGGTTTTATAAATAAGCATGTCATATAGTTGTTGTAATTAAAAACAAGTGATTATAGTGCATGGAAGTCATTGGAAGCTCTCTTAAGTTCAGCTCCTTACACTTAGGTTTTCCTCCCCTTCAAATCTCTCAATTCACAGCTGCCTTTCACTTCCATGTTTTCTCTAAGTCATCTGGTAGCTAAATCTGAGGTTCCTTTTTGAGAGGTCTTCACCCCTCCTAACACATCTTTGGACACACTGAAAACTCCGAGCACTTTCACCTGAGTAGTGCACATAGTTACAGAACACTGCTCCCTCTTTGAGAGAGTTTTAGGACAACCGGAAACCCACGAAAGGGGTCTTCCTTCCTGTGACTGGGACTCCACCCCAATTCATAAGAACCTATCTTACTTCAAGAAACTTGACCAATGATTTAGACCTTTCTTGTATTTTACATTTACCTTTTTCTACAGAACAGGCTACTCTTTTCAGAATTAAACATGACAATTTGCCCCTCCCCGCCGAAAGCAGAAAAGACAAAAAGAAAAAGAAAGAACTGCCTTCCTACCTTGGGTCCACCAATAGCTTGCCTCCCCCAGTGCCTCCATCAGCTGTGAGCCAGCTCCCACCCCACTAGGGCAATGAGTGCATACGTCCTAAAATTACTATCAGCTTCTCAACGGCCTCATGCAATAGATGTGTTTCCTTTTAATTCACTTTTCTTTGCGGTAATAGTTGGCATTTTCCCTACTCCCTTCCTGCTGAAATGTCACCTGCATTACGTGCTGGGGCATCTTTTACCTGATCTCCAGTCCATCTCCCCGGCTCGTCCTCCACAGTCCCTGTCACCCTTCTCCTTACTCTCCCATCCCCTACCTGTTGTTCTTCAGAAACGCATCCTATGTCTTCTTCCCGCTCTTTCTAGACCTGTGTGCTGGGTGCCACTGGCATCCCCAAGGAGAGCTATTACAATATAATGATGCCTGCAGCTGCATCAAAGACCAATTAAACCAGACTTCCTGGGACAGACCCAGGCATCTGTGTTTTTTGAAAGATTTATAAAATAGTGCTCCACATATTCTCTCTGGATAATTTTATTCATACCAGGAGCCTCAACAACAATCCATATTTATGACCTATAAATATCTATTTTCAGCCCAGAGCTCTCCAGTGAGCTAAAGACTCATGTATCCAATTTATGTACACAACATCTCCATAAACACCAAAATGGAATTCATTATTTTTCCTTCAAACCCTCTTTCTCCACCCATATTCTTTACCTGGCATGGCAATTCCATCTATAAGTCACCAAGCCAAAAACTGGAATCCTCTTGGGATGTCCCATCTCTCCTGCCTACATCCAGGCACTCATGACTCAGTTTCCTAAAGACCTCTCATCTCTTCCTTTGACCCCTCAGCCATTGTCACTAGTGTAGTTCAGGCTTTTACTATGGCTTACATGGTCCTTCACAATAGTTCCTGCTTACTTCTTTTCTTTCTGTCACTTCACCAAAATATCAGCTTATTATTTCTCCACTTAAATTATTTCAGTGGCACCCCATTGTCTAGCCTATAAAGTTCAAACTTTCACGGCTGGAGTAGATGGAATACCAAATTCTCCTTTATCTGAGACTGCTGACCTCTTGAGCCTCCTTACTTCTTCCTCTCCTCACACTATGCAGAAGCCACACACGGGTCCCAACCACACCATATCCCAAACTTCGGCACAGGCCATTCTGAATAGAGAATTACCTCCCTGAAGTTCTTCAAAACTGAGCGAGAGCATCTCCTCCTCCTGATAGGCTCCTCTCCTTCTCTCTGCTCCAAACACTGCTGATATGGGGGTGCCTTTAGATTGTTTACTGAACGGGGCATGGTCCCCAGACCACATTATAAATTCCACATGCAAGTACCATGGTTGTTTTTTAAAGACTCTAAACGGTAACTAGAAGAAAGGCTGTTTCTTAGTAGTTGTTCAATAAATATTGGTTAAATAAATGTATGGATGAAAACAATGGCTAGTATGAAGTATTTCAAAAAGAGTGTAGAAGTATGATTAATAGTAACAGGAGGTTCTACTGATTTCTCAACTAATCAGTTTTGTCCTTGACATAACTAGGAATGAATGTAAATATGTGCATGATATTAAAATAAAATGCTAGCAATGTTTTTTAATTCTAAATAACAATAAACACGAAAGTGCAACTAATATGCAAAGATCTGCTTCTGAAATAATCCTTTAAAGGAGAGAACTAATTGGTTTTATTCTTTTTAATAATTCAAAGTTTTAAAATACTGTTGCTTTAAAGCACAAATTACGTGAGTTTAAGCAAGACATTTAACCTCCCTGTGTCTGTTTCCTTGTCTATAAAATAAGGGCAACAAAAAAATCTACTTCTTATGATTAAATATTTTAATATATGTTAAGATTTTGAATGTTTTATGTATACACACACACACACACACATATACATATAATAGATAGGTAATATTAACTTGGTGAAGAGAACAAATAAGTTTAACCCAGAATTTCCATATTTCAATTTCCTTTTCTATCAATCACATGAGGAATAAGACTGCAGAACTCAGATTTCTAGTTTTATCCTTTTATTATCAGAGCTTATTCTTTTTTCCTCCTTCTTGTAGTGCAGTGTATCTTTGCTAAAAGTTCACCCTCAGGCACAAAAAGGAAAGAGGTAATATCCCTAGCTTAAAAGTTACAAAAATAAAAAAAGAATCATTTCTAAATAGGAATTCTTGAAAGCAGTTAAACAGAAAGCCTTTTTCTTTCAAAGATCTACCAAAGGAACATGCCCTTCATTTAGAGACAAATACTGAGCATACACTGTCTTTTTCATTAAGATGGCTCAATCCCTCTGTATCTGTGTGGGTGGGGGGATGGAGAAGGGTTGCAGGTTTGGGGCTTTTTAGGTATTAGCATCTATAACATTAAAATCTTCCTCACTAGGTGAAATGATCATTCAGTCCAGAAAGCTGTATGTAATCGAGTGCCGTCTATAAGGGTAATGGAAATTGGAAATGTTCAAAGGGAAATGAATCTCTTTTTCAGCACTATTTTTTTCTTTTGAGTTAGGAAAGAAAATGATGAAAAGAAGCATCGTAATTTGGAATCCTGACTTTGGCATTAAAGTATGATAATGTCACTTGTTAGTGCAAATTAAGGCAACTATCATTCAGATTGTTTGGAAACATGATTACAGATTTATTTTTAACATTAACATGCACTTGTATACTTTATATTATTAAAGAAAAATAAAAAAATGCATATGTTTTTCTACTAACTGTTAACCAATAAAATACTAGTTTCTAAAATTGTTATACCTTAGGTAATATTATGCCAACTATGCGTCCATTCCATTAATTTAGAATTCTAAATCAATGAAGTCAACTGCAAAATAAACTGTTACCAATTTGCTTTTATTTGCCTGAATTTACTTATTCATAACGCATTGCTAATAATTTCAATAATTAGCCTGATTCCAAATTTTAGTTATTTGATTCATTAAGAGATATTTCTGTGCATGGTCTCCAAAACGAATTTTTGTAATGTCCATACGCACACTGTCCATCCAAAGCATAGCGATGGCCAGGTTTGGCTTGGAGCTTTCTCCAGCCAGGGCTCTCTCCCCCTTACCTTCTATGATGTAGATGCACTCTCGGTCAGGAGGGTACTTGCTGGGGTAGTTGGGAGAGGTAAAGATACCTCCCTCTGCATGTTTTGTCCAAGTTCCACACTGCACTGACTTCTGAGTTTCCGAGGTGGTTTGCTTTTCTGAAAAAAATAAAAGCAAGAGCCATCATCCAATTTTCTAAAGGACTAAAAATAGAGAGGACATTCTTATAATATCCATTAGTAAATTAATTTTGAAATGTTGTGTTAGTCAAAATCAATCAATTATACACACTATAAAATTTTCAGATATTCTGGAATATTAAGAATATGGGGAAAATAGGAAAATGTAAATAATTAGGGGTCTTCCACTGCATTTTCCCAAAGAAACACACCTGTTCCTTTCTTGGTTGCCCCAGACAAATGGAAGATGATTAAACTTGCTACAACTGAAACAGAAAAGAAAAATTAGAAAGAGATCATATTAATATACACTGAAATGATCACATTCTGTAATGCCATAAAGATAAGATAGTATTAAAGCAGATTAATTGTATTATTGTTAACCGTTCCAAGTTAACTCAGAACGTGCCAAAACTCGTTAAAAATGTACAAAACAGGAAAATTTAGGAATCCCTTCAGGAAGTAATGCACGTTAAGGTTGGATGAGACCCCAGAACTGCAAATGCGTACCTCAGAACTTCAGAGGCAATACTGTCATCTACTCCTGTCACATTATAGTAGGCTTTCAGGACCTGTATTGTTTCTAACCGCCCTTAGGGAAAGGCTTTGCTAGCATCTCTGAAGGAAGAGTGGGCCAGGCGACAGGCTGAAAAGGCAAACAATGAGGAAGGACTCCGTGACTGACCCTAAGGCACTGCCCTTGTAGTTGTAGTTGAGAAAACAAATACTTAGGCAAATCTTATGGCGGTTGTGGGAAGGGAACCGGAGAAAAACAGATAAACGGGGACTGGAGGCATTAAGCAGCACTACAAAAACGTTTCTAATAAAAAGGTACTCTGTTACCAAGTAACCCCTGTCCTCAGCACTTCCTAAGCTATGCAATTGATTTCTTCTAACCTTAACTTTGACTTAATATTTAGTGTTATCCAGAAATAGATTCTTACTTTGAGAAAGGCGATTTCTGTGAGCATTTCCTTGAGCCAATTTTTCAGTATCAAAAAAAGACCTTGATCTCTAACAAGAGTAAATCTGCAAAGACCATTGCAACCGGAACTTCTGCTTTACTTTCGTATCTTGATTTTTTTTATAAAACCTGAAACTAGAAGAGTAATAAAACAATCTAGTCTTCATAAGTACTGGTTTTTCCTCTTCTAATTAATCTGTTATTTTTTTTGTTGCCCAATTCCCTAAAATCCCTAACTTCCATTAGGTGTATAATTATATTTCCCCTTAAAATTAATTTGGAAAAGGGAAGGTATAATTCACAGTGATTTCCTAAACTGAAGCTCACGGCAGGAGTTTATAAATTTATGTTTTCCGATTATTCCAAGAAAAGAATGCGGGCCTTAAACTAGCATTTGAGAAAGTATATCAGTTATATTACTTTGTCCTGATCATCTGCTTTTAGATGAAAACATTAGCTGTTGTCGTCTGTGTTTAAACAGGAAAAAAAAAAAAATCTTGTTTTAACTTGCCAGGATTCTAGACACACACAAACACACAGGTACACGGTCATCAATACCAGGACGTCCGCGTGCTGTTGTCTTTACTCTGCTTTTCCTGTTTTGATGGAATCACACGATGGAACAAGTACTACGACTAACACATCCACAAAGCCGGTCTTTTAACTGCGTGGCACAGGATTAACCCTGGAATCCTAGCTTTTTAATGTGAAATTTCCACCACACATTTTCTTATACTGCCTTTTACTTGATGACTTCTGAAGCCATTTTCCTCTCAACGGCACGCGCTACCACACACCTATATAACGCAGCACTCAAGAGTTGAGGTTGGCACTCGCCCTCCCCGCAAGCGTGGCGTTCAGGTGCGCCCTAAACTCCCTTCTGGAGTGAAAATGTGGGCCCGCGGAGCTCCGAAAGCCCCCGAGAGGGCCATTCCCTGCATCCCGCAAACTGTCAGCCCCGCGCTCTCCCTCTTTCCACCTGCGCCCGCACCCGGGCCCACTGCCAGCGGCTCCCGCACGTGCTCGCCTCCGGCCCCAAGACTGTCCCCCGCAGATTCTGAGACCCAGCGACCACTGACCCGGCGCCGCCCCCACGCCTCGATCGATTATGCTGCAACCCAGAAAGTTTACCGGTGCCGGGACGCGCGGGGACTGCGGGGTCCGGTTGGAGCGCGGCGGCGAGGCTTTTCCCTGCGCGTTCGGCCACGAGGGAGGAGGGAAGGAGAGAGGAGGGGCCGCGAGTGGACCCGCGCGGCGGGAAAGGTACTCACTGTGAAACAAACTGCGTCCATAGATCATGTCTGTTCGTTACACCAGAGGCTCCGATCTCCACTAATTCCATTTAGAGACGGGAAGACTTCCAGCGGTGGGGGAGGACGGAGTCGGGGGCTTTTAAATGTGCAAACCAAGAACCAAACGAAGGGGGGACAGAGAGGGGAGAAAGAGAGATCCGAGCCCACACAGCAGCAAGATCCGAATCCTGGCGTCCGCCGCCCCTGGCTCGCTCTCGCTCGCTCTCTCACCGCCGCGAAGCCAGCATCCCCACCGTGACGCTCGCATCACACCCGGGCGCCGATCGCCACCATCAGCACCGCCGGCGGCAGCACCCTCCTCCTTTGCATCACCGCCGCCGGCGCAGCTGTCAGCAGGACGCGCGGGCAGTCGGCGCGCGGGCGGCGGCGGGCGCGGGGCGAGCCCCGGGGCGCCCGGACCGGGGCCGGGGCCGGGGCCGGGAGGAGGGCGCGGCGAGGCGGGGGCCAGTCCAGACCGACGGCCGCGACGGGGCGGGCGGGCGGCGGTGGCGGCGGCGGCGGCGGCTGGGGCTCGCTCAGTCCCCAGTTTCATACACCACGAGCAGCAGGTCGGAGCAACCTCTCCGGGAGGATGTCCAGCAGCAGCCCTCCTCTCTCCAGCCCTTGGGGATCTTCCGCTGAGGCATTGAAGACAGGAGGAAGGGGTCCGTCATCAGCTCGCCGGGCTCCGCGCCACCTCTGCGATCTTGCGGAAAGAGGAGCGGGTGGGTGGGCGTCTGGGAGGAGGGCCTGAGGGTGGCGGAGGGGAACGGGGGTGGCCAAGGGGGCGGGGAACGGAGGGAGGGGTTAGGAGCAGGAAGATGGCAGAGTTACCAAGTGGGCGCCTGAGTCATAGCCGTAGGCTGCACGACCCTCCAGGAAGCCCGGAGCCCGGGCGAAATTGGGCAGCGCGGCGCGGCCGGCGCCCCCGGGGCTGGTGCGCGGCGGAATGGGGCGGCGGCGGCGGCCGCAAGGACATCACACCCGCTCGGATCCTGGGGGGAGGGAAGGGGGAGGGGGTGAGGACCAGGCTGGTATCCGTCACTCGGCCAGCCCGGGCTGAGGGGGCCCGAAGGGAGCAGGCAAATCCGGAGCTGGATCCCGATGCCCGATAAAAGGCGAGCAAGGGGGAGGGGCCATCGCGTGAAATTTCCCTTTGGGGTTCAGTTTTCACTTTTTACGGGTTAGAGATTGCGGTCGATCTGTCTCCCACCCCTTACATTGCATCTGTCTAGAGGAAGCGTGTTCTCTCTCTTACCGGGGCTTGTGGGGCGGGGAAGGCTTTGCCATTTACTGCGCTCTCAGGCTGGGAAGACCAGGCAGGGGCGCGCGGGAGGCAAAGGCAGCGGTAAAAGTTTCGCGGTTAATCGCCTGGCCTGATGTTTAGGTCGCCCCCACCAAACTGCTTCTGCGAAGACTCCTTCATCTTCCCCAGGATATTTAAAACCCCCAAGGCAAACACAGAACACCTCCTACCCCACCTCTACACGCACAGACACGCGCGGGCGCAGCGCGTTAAACTCAGGAGGGGAGGGGAGGAAAAAAAAAAGAGTTGCTGGGGAAACAGCCCGGAAAAGCCCCAGCGTGTAAGATGCGAATAAACGAATAGGAAGGAACAATAAAGAGCGGGCGGCCCCGCGAAGGGCCGGAGCGCGCGGGAGTAAGGGGGAGTCCCTCCCCGGCCGCTGCAGCAGCACCCCCCCCCCCCCCCCCGCCCGGGCCCCGTCCCGCCCTCCCCGGCCGCTGCGGACTGCCGGCGCCACCACCGCCGCCGTCCGGACCTCGCGGCTACCCCGAGGCCTGCGACCCCCGGCCACCGCCTCAGTGGTCCTGGACCCCAGGCCCGCCCCCCGCTTCCGAGCGCGGCCTGGGGCTCGGGGTGGGGACGATGGTGGTGATTATTCGGGGGTAGGGAGGACTCAGGAGGCAGACAGCGGAGAGGAGCGGTGTCGCGAAGCCTAGGATCCCCTCCGAAGGCCGAGGAGAGAGGAGAGGGCCGTGAGAGGGGACGAGAGAGTGTTTGCGCGGGGCTGCGGCCGCCGCCGGGCTCCCCGCCTGGCTTCCACCTCGCTGCACCTGCAGCTGCGGCGCGGGGCCGCCCACGTGGGGGCGTGCGTGCGGGTGGCGGTGCTCGCGCGCCGCCTGCCTTCCCCTGGCACCGCTGCCGCGAAGGGTGGGGGGCTCCCGCCCGTCATGTGACAAGAGGAACACTGACGCAACCCCCAAGGCCGGGGTGGGGGATCCCCGAGTCCAGACACAACCTCCAAGACTCCCTCCACTGAGCTTTTGGTTCCTGCATTCCAGGTAGCTGCAAGTTCTCGACGTGGGTAAAAGTGACCAGGTCGAGGGTAGAGGGGCTGTGTGTGTGTGTGTGTGTGTGTGTGTGTGTGTGTGTGTGTGTGT